CTTACCTCCATTGGTCCACATAGGTCTGCATGAATTAAATCTCCGACATTGTAATACTCTGTATTACTTTTACTAAATGATTTACGACTTTGTTTACCTATTATACAACTGCTGCACATGAATTCGTCGTCCTTGGCCGAACATACTATTTCGTGTTTCGCCAAACAACTTTTTACGTACTGTAAATTGTGATGTGCCATGCGCTCGTGCCAAACAGACAACCTGTTTTCGACAGCTACAGTCGCGTACCGTCGGTACTTCGACCTTGATGTTTAACTCAAACAACCTTCCGCAACTCTTACCTGAGCATACGGGTTTCCCCTGTTTAGTTAACATACACGTCTTACTATCTGACGTCATTACTATAGTCCGGGTCACGAAAACTGGCGGCTGATTTTAGCGCCCCCAGTGGTGTATTTTTGGTAGGGCTATCTAACTATAGCCCTACCAAAAATACACCACTGGGGGCGCTAAAATCAGCCGCCAGTTTTCGTGACCCGGACTATAATCCTTTATCCATCGCGGCACCGCACGTTAAATAAATTAAATTTTAGTCCCGGCACGTGCAACACGTTTGCCATGTAATTTTTATTCCAATTACCGTTTACGTATGATAATATATTAATATTACCTCTACCTGCTGCATACAGATTTGTCCCATCACCTAAAGTGATTTGTCGAGTGTTGTCCAGTGGTTCATAACTTGAAAACCACTTTCGATTTGCGCTCATATGATCCGTTGGGCCCGAGTCTAGTACCCATGCATCTGTTGCAATATTATTTATTCTTGACTCGCTTACAAATGCGTTCAAGTTCGCACCTATAGTACCGGTTTTACCACCGTGTACACTTTGTAGAAAATTTCAACAGTCTCTTTTATAATGACCTAGTTTACCACAGTAATAACACTTAATATTACTTTTATTAGTAAATTGATTTTTACCTTTTCCATAATTACGACTGCCGTTTCTTCCATCAGATCTGTTTTGAAATTTGGCCGGAAATGCACTCGATTTCTCTTGTTCACCAACTTCACCTTTGATCTGGATAACCCGTGATTCTTCAATCAACAATCGACTAGTCAAATTATTTATATTTTTACTTCCCGTTGGGACTGAATCCCAAGCACTGTAAAAATGATTATATTCTTTTGGTAATGTCATTAGTATTTTCGTCCATGCACCTGAAACTATCTCACCTACTTCCAAGGCATTTAGAATGACCTTCATCTGGAACTTCCATAACGACCAGTTTTCCGCACATAATTTTGTTATCTTCACCGCGTCTTTCATGACCGATGGTTTCCCGTATACTTTCCTGTATAACAATTTATAACAAAACTTTACCTATGTACACTGTTCCGCCGTTTTCCGAAATCCAGGATATCTCCGACTGGTTGTAGTTTTCTGCGTTAAGTACAAATATAAAAATACTTCGATCACGAATCCACTAGACTGTATGTCTTGGTTATTGACTGGGCCCATAACCTGTTGAAAGTGAAGCTTGACGGACTAATGATGTTAGCATTAATATAATAAGTAATAACACGACAATATGATTATGTATAATTATAATATATAATAACGTACAACTGGACAATTAAACTGTGACAGTACACACACATCGTATACGCTCTGTACAACGACGCCTGTGCAAGTGAATATTACATACATCAAAGGCTCTATATATATGCACGACCGAGGTCATGTTACATCCGTGAAGAGAGTGAGTCTTATGCTCGTACATAACTAGTTACTATATTGTACACACTTGTCAAGGCTGACTACATGTACTACATATTAATTGTATATTTCAACATAGATCATGGATTACATACTCACCTGCAATGAATATAATTTATTGTTGAACATGCAAACTGTTTGGTTCTATTATAGCTCAAAAAAACTCTTGCCACTACAGGTTGTTATTCATGGGGACATTTAGGTGGTTGATATTGTAGAATTCATTTGCATGAAACTTGTAAAGATCACTTAGAAGCTGAACTCAATAAACTAATGTACATGAATAATAACCGTGTGGATATTCAGTTGATAAATTCAAATAATAAGCATGTTGCAATGAGTAGATCAGTAGAACATTATGTTTATCCAAACATAATGATGCTTTCAGAGGACATAGTGAGCACTTAACAGATGATACATACGGAAAATGTAAATCTAGGACAAAATATCCAAGGAAAAAATTTCCTGTACTAAAATATACAAGTCAAAGAGTTTCAAAAACAATTGCATAAAAACGAACGTTTACGTAAATTAAAAAGTTTTTCTGCTACCAGATGGACACCATGCCCGTTCTTTAGAAGTTATACAAACAACTTATAAATCAATTATTCTAACATTAAAAAAAATTGGACCTGAAGAAACTGACAAAAAAAAACAAACATTTAGCAAATAGTTTTGTAAAACTAAATTAAGTTTGTTCTTACAATGCATATAATGAGCAAAGTATTCTCAATAACTACACCATTATCAAATTATTTACGAATTCCTACCGTTGATATTATTCAAGCGATACATTTAATTAAAGCGACTCGGCAACAAATTCAAGATTTACGAGCAATGGAAACTGAATTTGTGTATGAAAACTTATATACAGAACAAAATTATTTTGTAAAGCACAAAACTTAGTGGAACGTGATTTAGCAGAAGTACGGACATCTCGCAAGAAAAAAATGAGTAGATAAATAAATAGTGGTGAAAGAAGAATCACTTCAGAAAATTATCGCTATGTATGTGAAGTCTATAGATACACGTTGGATGTAATTTTATGTAAAATAGATAATAGATTTAGTGGTTCTGAAAAAATTTTCAAAGAATTTTCATTACTATTACCTGGACGGCTGGACGCTTAGAGATGAACAAGGACTCCTCAAATAAATTTTATTACTTGGCAGACTGGTTGTCTGCAGCAGAATTGACAAAGGTGGTTTGACTTTAGAGTATGAGTTATTTATTTCTAATTACAAAAACTTTATTAATAGTGCTATAGCAAATGACATAAAAATCCAATCCAAACACAATATTAGTTCAAATGATTTAATTGATTTAAGTGATCAAAATGATTCTGAAGAAACGATACATGCTACAGCCATATACTGTAAAATAGAAATGGCGTTGGATTTTCCAAATGTATTCATGGCTTATAAGGGAGTTTGTACTTTGCTACCAACATCAGCAACTGCAGAATGATGTTTTTCCAAGCGTAAACTCATTAAAATCAAATTACGCTCTACTGTTGGAGAAAAAAGGTTGGGCAATTTAATGTTGATTTCATGCAATCTTGATATAGAAGTATCAATTGAAGATGCTATAAATACATTTTGCTTCAACTTCCAGTGAAGGCATTAATGTATTGTTAACACTTATAAAATAATGTTTATTGACTATTTGTATTAAAATGTTTTAATCAAAGAGAAATCTTAAAAGTTATACCTACCTTAGGCCGGCAGGTATATATCATTATTTTTTAAACTTAAATATATTTGGTCCATACCTTCTGGGACTTTCCCAGCCAGTTTAATAAGGAATTACAGGAAGAACTGGGCCTAGCACCAGTCACTAGCTACATAAAGGGACAAAGATTACAGTGGTTTGGGCACATAATGAGGAGAAGCGAAGAAGAAACCATAAGGGCAGTGATAGAATGGCAACCAGAAGGGAAGAGACCCCGAGGCAGACCAAGGAAGAGATGGCTTGACATAATAGAAGAGGATCTTAAATTTGTGGGAGTAAAAGAATGGAAGGAAATTATACAAGATCGAGAGAAATGGAGGGACATAGTGTTGGCGGCAAAAACTCTAATAGAGTTATAAAAGCCAGTTATGATGATAATGATACCTTCTGGGATATGTTAAGTCACATTAGATAGTAATTTGGGTAAAATTTGGAATGCATTACACATCCCCTTCTGGTGCCGATTTAGGGTTGAAAAATGGCAGATGAGGGTAGTTACATGTTTTTTTAAATTTATTAAAAAACTATTATAGTATTAGCATAGAAATATATAGAATCTTAATTATAAAGCGTAATTATATCTATAAAAAGTAATAAAACAAATTTTTTGTAAATTCATTTTTTTCCAAGAAAAATATTAAACACAAGGCGTATTTGTTAACGACTTTTAATGATCCAACTATCTCTTTTCCTTTTGTATACTCTTTATTTTCTTTCCAGTATAGTGGATCCAGTGATAAAAAATGAGTCTCAATATTAAAACCATCAAACATTTGTATTGATTTATATGTAATTATATCAACTGGTAAATCTTCGGGTTTGAAATTAGGGATGTCTTCAATTTTCAATGAATGCCTTTTTTTTACTTCTCCTATTTATTCATACTCTTCAAGCTCATTCATCAACATTATATTTGCCATTCTTCTTTTTTGCTCAATGGTAACACGATTGCCGAAAATAGAAAATGTCACACATTCATCACTAAGGTACCATAAATAGCTTATACATTTCCTTAATGCAGTTTAAGCTATTTATTTGTCGTCGTTTTTATAATTGTATAATGTATTTATAAAAAGTATATCATTAATAGGAAGCCTTTATTGCGTTTGGAACAGTGAACCCACACTTCAGCATAAAATTTAATTACAAAACAACAAATTTTTGTAAGTGACATTTCTTCTGTAGAAGTTAACTTAAACTGTTTTATAAATAATACAATTTTTAATGAATAAATATAAATAATAAAATAAATATCCTTGGCCATCCATCGTGCCAAATGATAAGCTCCAGGTTACTGAAAATTAAAATTTCCCTTAAGTTTTCCTCCGAGGAATACTACAATGAGCTGTAAAAACTCCTTGTAGTCATCACGTGGGAAATAATCTTTAAATAAGTCTTTTTTCTACAAAATCTAATATTTCATCGCCAACGTTAGTTAATATATCCAAAGTCATAGAATCATCAGTCCACTCCAAGTATTCGTTTTTATTAATATTTTTCCAATTATTAACGAATCTCTCGTAAATCTCACATGAGTGGCTGAGGAGCCCGAGGTAGTGCTTTGAAACGTGGTATGCAACGGTGGAGTTGTTTTTGAATAACACTTCTTGCCGATAGTACCCAAAAACGTCGGTGTATAATGGTTTGTACTGTTTGTGTACCTGGGTGTCCATTGCTCCTATGTACGTGGTCGATCAATAGCCTAGTCATCCATGCTTCTTTAGGTAATAGAATTGGACATTTTTCTCCAAACGGTAAATCCGCACGTCGTAAACGTCCACCCACACTTATCACGTTTTCACAATCTAGAAATGGAGCAAGCTTCCGTAGCTTGGAGGTACAAGATCGGTTATGCTTCAGATTATCGAGGTCATCGGAAAAATACACTCGTTGTGTCCATTGCACCAATGCACCTATAGCTTCATCTATCTCAGCGTACGTGGGTGGCGTCTGACAGTCTGGAATTTTCTTTTTACGGAGACGCTTACGCACTCGCAGGCAGTAGCAAGTCAAACGCGTCATTTTTGTCCGACTGGTACAATAGCGTTTACAATACCGAGGTTTTCGTGATCAGCGTGATTACCTTCGTCTTAAGTTGTATGACAGTGTTTAGATCTTTGTAGGTAAGGACTTGATCTTGAACTATCCTACGTAACAACCCTTTAGCCAAAATCATTCGTAAATAGTTAACAAGGCACTCAAGGTCAAATTTAAATGTACATTTCTCATATTATAGTATAACAGTTTCGTTTTGAAGGCAATTTACTACCTGTAATTTGATTATTCATATCTGAAAAATTTTATTTCGTGACATTTTAAACATTAAACACTATGCTTGTGAGTCGTGAGACAGTCGAAACATAATGGCGTAATGATTAAATACGTAAGTATTAAACGTCTATCTACGAATAATCAGTAAATAATTATCTGAAAATAAATTCCCTTTCTATCCCTTATTTTTCTTATTACTAATTTATTTCTCTTAATGATTTAATTTCCTAATTTACGCGCTTTAACCTTTTAATTTTAAACACTGAAATTTAATTTTTTCATTAATAATTATTCTATCAACTTATTCGTAGGAATGTTATACTAAATCTTATCCTGGCTCCTATAATTAGTTCTTTTTCCCCAAAACTTTTCAAAATTTGACGTCAATTACTTTTATTCAATAAGGTCATCTACTGCCTTTTAATTCAAAATCTATTTTCTTCAATATATATCAATTAATTTCTTTCAATAATTATCTATCATTCTATATTTCAATTCAAAAATTCAATATTTCACTTTAATCGATTATTCCCATATAAAAAAAATGCTACGGCCGTGCATCAATTCTCTAGATCAGCCTATCGCTGTCTACCTATTAGATCAGTCTTTGCTGCCTATCACAAAAAAATCTTAGATCGGTCCTTGCCGTCTATTTACCATAAAAATCCTAGATCAGTCTACAGCTGTCTATTACAAATACGTATATAGTTCTTATCAAGCTTGTTTCCTATTTTTTTTCTTTATTTTTTTTTATTCGAATATTTTTTTTTTTTTTTTAATATTTTACACCTCCACCAAGATATAAAATAAACGTTGATTTAATAAAATCAACGTGAAACGTGCACCTCAAGCTACAATTTTAATTCTATCTACCTTCAACTTAATTAATCTACTTACAATAACGCTGTTACCACTGCTAATTTTCCTTGTTCTGTCTGCTGGCCTGTCTTTAATTTGTTCGTTGATTCCGGAGTCGCCTTGGTTGATCAGACCTTGACTGTTGCCTCCATGGAGCTGTTGACGTTGTGTAGCCGCCGCGTCTTAACTGGACCTCCGAAGTTGAATGTCGCCTTGACTGCTGGACATTTTAATAAAAGCATACATTAATAAAACAATTTAAAGAAAAAATCCTGTTAGCTATCCAAAGTATTAATATAAAAAATAAAAAAATATTAATATCTGTAATATTTCTTTAGTGTATTCTGTTATTACTAACTTACCTATAATTTATATTCATCTGAGTTAAACCATACTACTTTTACCTATATATTATTAAAATAGCTTAAATAATCAACTACCTAGAGATAATATTATATATTATAAAATGCTATCTATATACCTATATTTTGTTTTATAATGGGCTACCATTAAGACTTCTGAGTTGAGAGTTCTATTAATTTTGTAAGTACCTAACTAACATGTGTTTTATAATGAAAATAACGTGAGTAATATAAGCTATATAACCGTGTACATATTTTGTTGAAATATTTGAAGTTATTGCTTTATGTACTAAAATGTATCTTCAGTCATCAGTGCTATATTTCTATAACTTTTACCTAATTGAATAATAATTAATATTATATTTTAATGTATATTTTTTTAGTATAAACATCCAGGGAGTCTTTTAAAAGTTAAGAAACTAAAAGATTCTCATAAAACAAAGAAGTCAACAGATGATTTAACATCACCTTATGTGAACACACAATCAAAATTATCATTTGCACAGTCAAATAAATTTTCAAAAACTAAAGTATGTACTTCAGCAGTTTATAGTAGGTATATCAAAAAAATAAACATGGGGCATGTCGCATGTATATATTGCATTGTATGTTGGTATATTACTTTTAAATAGGTATTAAAATAGCTAGAGAATAGTTAAGTATCTGTCATTTTATTTTTTGAGCAATAACAAATGTAGTATTTAGAAATTTTTATATAGGTATTTTCACATTTGAAACTTGAACACCTAATATAGACATCTACTTATTTCACAAGTTTAACTTAAAAATCTATAGTTGGTTACCAAGTATTTTATAATTAACAATATCTGTAGTTAATAAATAATATGATACATTAAAATTTATAAAGTATTCATAGTTTTCAAAATTAACAAATAGTTTTATGAAATAATGTTCCAAAATTAATTTGTTGTTTTATTGCAGCTACAATAAAAAATTCTTGATTTATCAAATTTTAATTTTAATTTGCTCAAATTTTTCATCGTTTATCTTTTTATTGTCATGTTGACAATAGTTCTTTGACTCGACCACAGCACCTCATCTATCTCCTCAGCCGTACACACTGCCACTCTGGCCTAAATGTAAAAATTAAATAACTAGCCCTTTGCATGTGAATCTACTTACCCATAGGTATAGAATTTAGTTGTGTTTCACTTAATATGTATTTTAAATTTGATTAGAATATCTAATACTTAAGCAAGCAATAGGTAAAACAAATATTTACTTACTTTACCTTACCCAAAGATTTAATTTTTTTATTTTGATAATTTTGTTTTAGGTGACTACATTGGTTTTTGAATATATCGTGGAAGAAATGCGACCCATGGTAACCTGTGAAAAGCCAGCTTTTCGTCGTTTGATCAAAGGTCCATCTGGCATCACAGAAAACATATCACTTCCTGATAGACAAGTGATGTTAAAAGAATTAAAACTTAAATATTTGTTGTATATTTCTATGTTGACTAAACTAATTTCTGGCCATAAATTTATATGTACTAATGCTGACATTTGGAGTTGTAACAACAAGAGTTATATGGGAATGACGTGTCATTTTATTGATGAAAATACTTATAGTAGGTCATCTTACGTTTTGGGGTGTAGACGTATAAAAGGCAGCCATACCTATGATAATATTGCTGAGGTTATTAACGAAATTACTCAAACCTATAAAATTGATAATTCTAAAATCTCTCACACAGTTACTGATAACGCGAGTAATTTCGGAAAAGCATTTAGAAAGTTTTCTTCTCAAGCTGCTATTCCAACACATTCAAATTCTGCAAATGGTCCAGAAATAAATTGGTTTGGTAATGGTGATTCATGTTCTGATAATTCAGATGACGAGGTTGAAGTTGAAATCATTACAATGGACTCGATACTTAATTCTGGCCGTTATAATGAATATAATTTACCAGAACATATGACATGTACAGCTCATACACTTAATTTAATAGCAACTGTAGATACTTCTAAAATATCCAACTTGTCCTATAATAAAATTTCAACTGCAACTTTCAAGAAGCTAAATTCGTTTTGGAACTTATTGAGTAGAAGCACTGTTGCTTCTGATAAAGTAGAAGACGCGTGTAATTGTAAATTTCCTGTTCCTATAATTAGCAGGTGGAATTCCATGTTCTTTGCTGCTAAAAAAGTAGTTTCTTATAAAGATAAACTGGTATCCACATTTGATGAATTGAAATTAAGCAAACTTACATTATGTGAATGGTCATTTTTAGAGGAATATTGTACTGTAATGGAACCGTTAGCTATTTCTTTAGATAAATTACAGAATGAAAAAACATGTTTTTTGGGCTATGTTATTCCCACAATAATTGCATTAAGACTGAAGTTACTTAATTTAACAAGTTTAGTTTATTGTAAGCCATTATCATTATTGATAGTTCAAAGTCTGGAAAAAAGATTTCCATTTGTATTTGATCTTGAACATTTAAAAAGCAAACCTTATATATTGTCATCAATAAGTCATCCAAAATTGAAATTAAATTGTATTCCTTTAAGATTTATGTCAGTATGTAAAAAATTATTCTTGTCTGAATGCAATTCATTAAATTTATTTTATTTTTAAGAAATATGCTGCATAAATGTAATATTATGTTTTGCTTATTTTTATCTAAATGTTGTGTAAAAAGATGATTTAAACTAAACAAAATGTCAAACTATAAATATAAATGATAAAATTCTCCAGTAAAGTGTTTGTTTGTTTATTAATGAATTATTAAATATTGAATATTTATTAAAATTGTGTATTAAGGTGTTGAAACGGCACGGTCACAATGGACCAGCGTCCGAAATAATAACGCTTGGGTTTTTCGTTATTACATTTTATCCTGTATTTTTACACAAATATATTTTGTACAATGTGGGGGCAGCGAGGATCACGGGTGTGACAGTTGGTCTATGGAGACGGACCGTCGCGGTGAGACCTCGGCACGGCCAGCAATTGCTAGGCCCTAATTACAAATATGAAGGGAATGTTTGGGGGGGAAACGGACGATAACAGTCGCCGTATGGACGGGGTCAGTATACCACGGCGCGTGACTCGTAAGAAGCGGCTACTGTGATATACTAGACCCGGGTTTCGACACAACTTGATCAAGTGGCCGTAGGAGGGGACGTATGGGTGGTGTTTTAGTCTCCGACTGTTGGAGTCGACGGCGACGGTGGATACCGGCGCAACGCGGCAACTGCTTGGCTCCTGGTACTCCGTGCGGCGGGTACTTGCCGGTCGGGAAGGCGTGTGTGCGGCTGGTTCTCCGAGTACGACGCCGTGGGCGTATTGAAATGCCGTCTACCTCGTCGTGGCTCTCCTGCCGGTTGCGTGTGGCGGTCGACGATTGGCTGCGGTTTTGAATGATTCGGGCTTGGGTCGACTTGTTGCCGGCGTTCGTCGTTCACGATATCCCGCTGGTTTTCGGCGACTTATGGCGGCTTCGTGGATCGTCAGGTCTTCGGGTCTTCACTTCTTCTGGTGTTGAGATGTTGAAGGTTGGT